GCCTTGGGTCCATCATGGCCAATAGATGCAACCGCGTCTGGCTTCATATCAGCTGCATTCAAACTGTACGCCTTTGGGATGGCGGTAGAGGCAGTGGACCACCATATGTTCCTGTTGTCATTAGGAACGGTGGCACTAGCAGTGCCACACTCTTGTGTGATGAAGTTCGCGGTATCGACGAATGGATTGTAGAGCTGCTTCTCGGATCCTGGCGTTGGATCCGGAAACTTCGTCCAGCGGTCTCGAGAATACAAAGGATTGCTGCCAGTACACGCCACATTGAATATCTTCTTCACGACGGAATCCTCAACGCCTTCGAAGATCTTCTCGATGAATTGTGGAGTGTCGCAGTAGACGGAGCGGCCGATCTCGTCGCGAAGCTGGACCTCGACATCTGCATGCTGCTCTTTACGCTCTTGAAAATGGGCGTTGGTACTGTATCTACTATGATTCATGACCCCGGGAGGCGTATTAGCGACTTTCGGGAGAGGGATGGATTGTGGCGCAGGCTCATCTTGTGGGGTGGTAGACATACCTGGGGGATGCAGGTTCACTCAGTTCATCATGAGTGCGCTTCATCTTATATGCCGTCTGAAGGCGGCCGGAGGAGAGTCGATGCTAAACAATGGGCGGGATTTCAACTTGGACTCTAAGTCTGAAAACAAGTTCCACGACGAATTTGGTTCGGCCTACCTATTCTGGAATGAAGCGGCTGCACTCATTGAGCACCAGTGAGTCACCTTGACGGATCACGCACTTACACGTTCCAGAGATTATCATGCCACAATGAAGCCAGGTCGCGGTAAATAGCACTAGAGAAAATTATCCAAGATTGATTTTTGCAACGCATTCGAAAGCAAATGATAGTTACCCACCGAAGTAGCCAGATCCCACTTTGGCTACTATCCCTTATACCCTGTCTCTTGAGATAACGAAACAGGTAGAACGGTGTGGTACGCTACGGATGTATTCACTCGGGGCGATGAGATCGCTTCAAGTTGTAATTCAGAATGTCATAGCAAGTTCGAGTTGGTTGAGAAGCTGACGGTTCCGCCCGAAGTGGCGATCTGCGATCAAGTCACGTTCAGTGATGGCATAAATTCATGACCCGTACACGAGGCTCCGAAGAGATTGATTCCGTCGATGGCAAATACATGGGTTACCAAGGACGTTCACGCCGTTTATTGGTAAATTTTAAGGTTCTTCGTTGCACCGAGTCCGAATTCCTTCCCGAAGTTTCCTGTTACCCAACGCCTGCGGATCTGCTACTCCCAAATCGATTTAATAGTATGCAGCAGGGAAGAGAAATACATCGACCTCGGGAACATCCATTTCAATCGGAAAGAACACAATACGACACGTATCACACAACCGAGAACCAATTTCTTGCGCTGGAAAGATATCAGAAAGTAGCAACCAAGAAGGAAAGCCCTTCTGATTCCTTCGGTTGGATAATTGGACGCGATAATTCGCTGCATCAGCGTATAGATTCCACTTGATAATGTCCGTCTCAGCACAGCAACGCGTTCGTTACACTATATCTTATGTACTCTATCATCTTCCGTTATCACTATCGGACAATCAAATTTGCTAGAGAGAACTCCGCTACGTCACGTCACTTTGAGACTACGAATAGCTTACGACTCGTGTGTTGCACGCCCATTTGAAACGACGAGGCCTCGACCAATTCAGCCTAGAAGCAACACCAATAACGTGAGCTGATATGATCACACAATATGCCGCGGTGATATTCGCCCACGTAAGTGCTTAGATGCGTGCTTGCGTGCTTATCGTGTGCTCGGAACTTGGATCTGATTCCGCGAAACAAGGCGCACGCGCAAAAGGATGGCCAGTCAGTAGGCTCAAAGTCACCCGTATCGATGCCCTATGTTCTCCAAAGTAGTGTGGTTCAGTAGAGTTGGCTGAACCCTGCAGCCCTGCAGTGTCTGTTACGTTTCCTTCTCAAGCGGCGATAGACCACGGGTTATCCAGCGAGGCTGCATCGTGCGGGTGAGCGAACACGTTCAGAGGTACACAGATACCTTAGCATCTGCTAGTGACGACTGTGTGCGAGCCAATTTGACGTCCTGAAACATGATTCTGCATCAGGTACACCTGGTGAGAGGGCTCAGTCGCCAGAATGCAGATCCGGATTTATGTTTGAAGTCCAGCATGACCACTCGTGGACAAAGTTGGGTCCAAGCGACACGCTAATGAGCGCACCGTCACGCTGTTACTGAGCACCTCAGCAAGCCAAGACATAGATGGCAAAGAGTACGAAAGAGTATTATATTGTGGAGGACAGCGAAGACTACGCTCAGAGACCCGGGTAAAGATCAGAGCCTAAGAATGTGTAAAGTTGGTGACGCTGCGCAGCAAGATCGACGTACACAGCCTAGTGGAGGTGGGAGGTAGAATAAATCAGGCGTCGAGATAGCACTGAGGTAGAGCTGTGTGACGCTCGGATACATGGGTGCGTTGTCGCTGGCTTGTTGTTGAACGCTGTAGCAGATCCCGGCGGCGAGCGTGTCCATCACTGCGGAAAGTCTGTGCCCTGTGGCTTGATGCCGCTCGCAATCGACAACGAGTTTCATTAATGCGAGAAGGGAGTCGTTGCATCGAGCGAGAGCGTGGACATGGTCCAAATGTATCGTGTAGCGTCGGCTACGGCTGACCTCATGGCTGGAGACAAGCATCGTGGTTCAAGATAAGGCGGATAGTACAATGCAGCAGCACCTGTGTAGGTTCACAATCATTCGCGTGTGTCTCCTAGTGAAACTGAGATGCTCACGCACCGTTCAGATGGGGGCACCTCGGTATAGCGACGGCCTGAACCGCGCCTCCGACTTCCGCGTACGATCGCTCCCGCCGATCAATGTTCCCGGTCGAAACTCAAATTCCCCGCTGCCGTCCTGGTTTTCCGTTCGATCGCGACTGGCGGAGCGAGGTCAGGTCTTCCCAGATCCTGAGAGCAAGTACATGCGATATCCAGAAGTTCGGGTATTGTGGGTGGTCTTGACAGCCAGATCATAATTGGGCTCATGTTTGTTGCCCTGGCATCAATGCGATGGCAGGAAGTCATCGCTCACCTTGCTTATTGTAGGTGGTCTTCGCCGTTGACGAGTCGACATTGTATTCCTTGTTGTATTCTTGCCGGTGCGCTCATCGTCGGTTACGAATTACTATCAAACAATGGATGCTATTGTATGCAGCTGGTCGGATTGTTTGTCAATGGACGCATAGAGGGACTTGGGGGATCCGGGAGACGATGTAGCCTGGGTCTAGATCCGTTAAAGTCCTCGTGTCAAGCGTTAGATATCCACGCAGCTCGCGTATATGGATGTCCAGATTTACTTGGTATTGGCGCTGAGCCACTATCTCGTGATGAGGTCCGGCTGCGGAGCTTGTCCGTTGTGGCCCTGCGAAATCTTCCACCCCATACAATTGTCTGACAGCCACTTTCTCACCAATGTTCCCATACAAATGAACTCTCGCTCTGATTTTGGGAGAGCAGCGGTGGGTACCTTGGCGGTTAACATTACGGCTGTGCCAGTGTCTTAGATCCAACTTGCCTATCTCGAGTTACGCAAGGCAGTCACCTGGGCCGAGGCACTAGGCTGTTGCCAGGATGACGATGAGGGTCCTCCCGGGCACACGCTCACTGCTCGAAAGCTGGAGGCAAAACGGACTTAACTCAAGTTGGCAACTACCATCAGCGCGCTTGAAAATGAGGTCTGCGGTGTCGACGACGAGTCCAGGCAGATAGTAGCGTTTTACCAGCACGAGTTGAATGTCGCATGATCACATAGGTGAGCTGAGGGTACGAGATCGTCTGATGGGCACCATATAGGCGTGCCGTAAGTCTGAAGCGGAATGCGCTGCAGATGGATATCCGGTCGCGGCTGAACCTTAGACAGGGTCATCTGGCGCGCGAACGCGGAGACATGGAAGGTCTCCTTTGACAGCGTAGACTCGCACTCGGAGTCGGACACAATAGGATGTTCTCATAACTCCACGTCCGGCGGGCCAGGCAGGACGGGGTCAGCCGTGCATTGCTTCGGGATGTGTAGCGCTGTTGTGTCCGCGGGGCGGACACGGTATCCAGCAGACAGTGGGAGACGATAAGAATCGATGGAATGCAAGGTGACTACAGTGACGAAAGGCGATGCAGCTGCAGTCAATAGTCCCGAAGAAGACAGAGGCTGCGCAGATAGCCCGCTGTCACACTGCGAGACCCAGACGGAGGAAAGAGAGCTACCAGGAGGGGACACGCTGTGAATGGGAGGAAGAGGAACAGAAGCTGCACGGAAAGATGGCGTTGGAGACAGAGATAGGACGAAGATCAAGGGTGCCGTGGCTGAATGCAAGATTGAATAGGAAACCTGGCCATCACGTCGCATGCGAGAGAAGGCTGAGCAAGCACGCCTCGTGGCTCGCGGAGAGCTGAAGGAGGAAGGGCAAGCTCGGGCGGACGGTAGAATCTGCGCTGGAGACGTGGACTCCCTGCGGAGGCTGGCACTCGAACACGCCCGCACACGCACCAGAAAGGGGCACTCGCCCGTCCAGCCACCCGGCACGGCATTCTGCGGAACTCTGATGGCGCCGCTAGTTCGGCGAGTGGAGCACGCAGCGGGAGCGCGCTCTTGTTTTCAAGCTCCGCGTCAAAGCAGGGGCAGCCCAGACTGATAGAAAACAGCTGACCAATCTCGGTCCCTCACATATCCCCCCCGCCTCGTTTTTCGTCCGCAACCATTCCGCCGCCGTCGTCGTCGCGCACGTCGCCCGTCCCCCCTCCGCCGACAATCACCCTGTCCTCGCCATTCGTGCCGCCATGATAGCCGTCCAGAAGCCCCCACCTCAGTTCTTTGCTGCTCCTCTCTTGCGTCCGAGTCACAGCCGACACCCCTCCGCTCCAGTGGTGGTACGGCCGACGCATACTCCTGGCCTCCTGTCCCTCTCGAAACCTTCTCAGCCCAATGCTCGTCCCCAGACTGCTAACCATCAGCGTCAGCATCGCTCGTCGCCTCGGGGGAAGCCTCAACAGAAGTCGCCTCAACCGACACAGGCCATAGCGCAGGTGCAACCGGTTGAAGACGCCAAGAAGTCAACGCCTCTCGTTCCTAGAAATGAGAACATTACCTCTGAGAAGCCCAAGATTCAGCCTACTGCACCTGCGCCGACGGTTTCGGACAAATCAGTTAGGGGCCGCCAGACTAACAAGCCCAGTAAAGATAAGGCTCAACGAAGGTTGGTTGTTTTCATTCATATCGACGTTGTGCTTACGTCTTAACTGAATGTCCGACGATGCATTCAGGAGCGCATCTTCTACATCTCGTGCACCTGCACGACGACAACGCCATCAGCCATCTCCTCCTCCTATTGCTCTTCCACCCTCGCAGGCAGAGGACTCTTCCAAATCTTCGCCCAAGTCGACCCGTCCTATTGCCAGTGCCTCAGTAGATTCTACCGATCCTTTTCTCATCCGTGACGTTCCGACTGTTGACGCCCCTCAAGGCGGGTCATTAAAGCCCTCTCCCAAGGGCCCTACTTTTCGCTCTCCCCCACCCCTAACTCAGCCGTCTGGTAAGCTTGCGCGTCGTCGTCAGCTCACCACTCGAGCTTCGGTTTCGCCCAGCGCTCCAAAGGGATCGCAATCTCGCAAGGACCGTGTCGCGGCCCTTGTAGGTACCGTTAACGACAAACAGGACATCGATCTAACGACGCCCGTGCGCCATGCGAAGACTCGTCGCACTCCGGTAGCCGCTTGGGACTGTTTCCCCATCTGCGATGATTCGGCCGACCAAGCCGATGACAGTGACGACACCCCGCCTACGACTCCAATTAGAGAGTCTGCCAGTGTTCCAGTCAAGAGGATCACAAAGGAGTGGCATGCCGCTGGCGGCTTTGACGATGTTCCGCATACCGCTCCTCTGTCTTCGACGGCCGGTTTCCGCTTCGTGCCTCCGAGCCCGACATCCACTCCTACTCCTGCTCAGCGACGCCGCAACCATAGACGTGTGCCCAGCGAGGGTATGTTTCATATGTCGATGGATGAGGATTCAGCGTCCTCCGATACGTTCCCTTCAATAGGCAGAGCCCCTATTCACATGGGCAGACGCAAAATTCCGGCCGAATTTCGGCAAGCTGTGGCGAGTGGTATTGAGAGTGGCACTTCATCTTCAGCTCCTCAGGCAGGATACTTTGCGGGTTCGATGTTCCAAAACTCCCCGAGTCCTGATGAACTTCCTCCGCCGTCATTCTGATTGTATTTGTAAATAACATAGAATTCGTCAAGTGTAGAGGTGAGTGTGCTTTACCGTGGCTGATTTGTCTACTGACTTTTACCTGATAGCCCAGAGTTATTAGATACCCATAGATGCTCGCATTTATCTACGTTCATACTACGACTAATCCTCGACTACCGAAGCCTTTCGCAAATCATTAATGCCGTCATGCCTTTTCTGTCTCTCGCCTGTAGGGGCTTGGACGTGTACATCACCTCACGGTACCATTACACATCCGGCAAACGGTTTCGCTTCCATCGTCATGCTTGGGTTCAGCGGTCTTTGGGTTTTCGGTTTCTCTGGGCTTCTCACTTGAACGATATTCGGCAGACACAAAACACGGTCAATCCCCCGCCATGGTCACTCGCTCAGGACAACCTCGCTTCAATCTATCGTTTCATTCACTCGATACCCATCTCCTTGCTGGGTCAGCTGTCAGCGTTGGTATTCATACCCCACCGCTGATGGTGATGAGCTCTTGGGCTCGTCACGCGCATGTCCGCGTGTCCCACTTCTTCTCGCGCTTCTGTACAGCTTCCCCCATTCGTCTCGCCTTTTTATTATCATCGCATCTCAATTGTGCCACTACCAACCCAGCTCAGAAGTGCATGCTTTCGCATCCTCGCATCCTCGCATCGCAAAATACGTTGCTTACGTGGCGCCTGGATCGTGCAGGCGTTGCGTTGTAATAACAGGAAAACGATAGATCAAGACTACATCAAGAAAAGACCTATACAAAAGCCTAGGCCGTCGAAGGGCGGCTGTCATCTAAGTTATCCTCCCCTGGTTTCGGCTTCCAACGCCGTTGTTAGGAGATTATTATCTGTCGTCTCCTCGTTCTTGACTGGTTATCCGGCTTTGGTGTCTTGGATTTTGGGACTTTGCTCGCATCCATCCTCGACTGCCACATAATCCCACCTTACCTTTCTATTGTAGCTTCCTCGCCGTCCTTTATACTTTCGTGGCGTTTGAGGATTTATTCGCCTGCCGAGGCTCTTCATTCCCCCTCCTCTGACCCCCTTGTCTAATCGTCTATCCTCGGCGGGCTGCAATCAGTGTATCACTATCTCTATCCTCGTCCCACAATTCTTTTGTTCAGTAGTCTATTTGATGGGCTGTTCTTCCGTGATACTCCTCATGGCCGATTTTGCCTTATATACGATAATTATGTTCCAGAGTCCTCTTCCCTACAATTTCTATGTGTTCATGATCTTCATTTCATTTCGTATGTATATGACTTGTTGCAGAATGTCGGCGCGCTGGTGTTGAATGTGAGTAGCTATTTTCGTTCAGCCGCTCAGATCTAATTATTTTACAGATGATTATCGTACACACATGGTCACCCAGCAGTACCTGTGCCGCCAGGCTCTCGTCATCGCCGGAACTCCCTCACCTTCCGCTGTACATATTTTCCTTGACGACGCCTGGTGAATCAAGACGTCACGCTCGTTTAATATGTCTTTTCAGTCCGTATATATTCCATGACTTACAGCAGTCTCTGCCGTCCTCCCCTCCTTCCATCTTGGGTCTACATATCGATTCTTGTCCCTATTCTGCTCCTTAATCTTCATCGCCCTTGCTCTGCATTGCTCCTCCCTCAACACGATCACGCCTCGGTCAGCTACCACCTTCCATCGATAGCCATTGCACATTCGCTTCGTTGACCGTTCCGTCCTCGCCGTATCCCTTGTCGATCTCGGATTACCGATTTTCCCCGTGTATCCATAGTGCACGCTCCTGTGTTGCATTGTCGCCACACCTGTTTTCCCCAACTGCGCCGGGGAATGCGCAAATTCACGACAACACATCTGGGAGCGTATTTCCCTGTTCTCATTAATGGCGCATCCGAAGAGTGGGTGTGGTTTTGGAGTGCACGCTGCGTTGGAGGGTGATCTTGAGGAGAAGGTGTTCGCATTCATGCGTGATGGGAAGGATCTTTGGGTGGAACCTGCGACGCGATTGCATCGGTCGGTGGTGGTATATTCAGCTGTATCTGTTGCACCGGTTTTATGTCTCATAGGCATCTTGTATGAGGAAGTGGCTGAATGAAGATTGTTCTGATAATGATTGATGCGCTAACGGTTCGAACATATCTCGCTCGACGGCTCACTATAGTACGTTCATCATCGGTGAGAGAATTTGAGAATGAGTACAACATAGCGATACAATGGCATGTGTCTATAACGAATGGAATACGATGAGCAAGAATTATCGCAAGCTCTAAGGGAATGCTAGGATGTACTCCTTCATCTGTTGCTCCCAGCTACACTGTGGCAACGCCTCCAAACTCTCGTCAGCATTCCCACCACAAGCTTGTTCAAGAAGGCCGGAAACGGTCTGCATGATGCTGCTCAAGCCACCCTGTATATCGCTATCCGGAGTATCTGGAGAGCGCACGAAGACAGGAACAAGCATCTCTTTGCCATCGTTTGGACCTGCCAGCGTAGACGACAAGCCTGAGCCAGGTGAGCCAGACTCAGAGGATGGTTTGCGATAGCCTGCCACAGATGTTGCCCGAGAGCCAGCAGCAGATTGAGATCCAGAAGCAGAGACGGACGCGGATGTAGACGTAGATGTTGCCGAAGATGAAGAGGCGAGTGCTTTTGCTTTCCCTTTTGCTTTTGCCTTCGCTTTCGATGCGGCCCGGGGATAAATCCTGCTTGAGCGGCGCGTGTGTTGCCGCGCGGCCTTCATCACCTCCTTCTCGACCTGCTGGTACGCGTCGGAGCCGGGGGCGGAGACGGACAAGAGGGCTTCTCGTGTTTGATTAAACGCGATGTAGCGCAGGGTAGGGTAGAAGTGCACCATCGACCCGGGTGTGCCGCAGACGACGGGGCAGTCGGGGTTCGGGCAGCCAGGCGGGTTGACGCCGTCTCGCTGGCACTTGCCGTGAAAGTAGCTAGGGAAGATGGCAGTCTCCATCCCGTTGTAGGCTATTCGTTCGTAGGCGTCGACTATGGGCGTCAGGTAGGCGTGCGTGGTGGATGGGCTGGGCTGGCCGGGCAGCATGCTCGAGATGCTTTGGGCCTAGGACGGGCGAGGTTTGAGCGATGCAGCGAGCTAGACTAAGGTACTCACGACGGAGTCCATAACCGAGTGGATTGGGACCGAATAGTTTCTTAGGAAGACGTTTGTAATGGATATGATGCATTCTCCTTCACAGGACAGTACAGCGACCGGCGCCGTTAGCAAGAGGAGAGGCAAGTACAAGAAGGAATGCATGGTTTGTGTGGGCTAGGCAGAGCAGAGCTGTGGAAGCCAGGAAGGAGCAAGGGTCTGGTTCAACTTGCGTTGGTGCTTCTATGTCAATCACGTGGAGGCGCTGAAGACTTCGAACTTTCACCATCGCAAATCCGCGACGGCGAGAAGTGTTCACTACCTCTCGCGTGCAGCGTCATGCATCACGCCCAGGGATAATGCGTTGATGAATGACTCATCATATTGCGTAACTACTGTCGAACCGGATGTGTATCAGCAGAGTAGTCTGCTCGGTGGGGACCTTGACGAGACACCTACATGTCCTATCAATGGCCACATGAGCCCTGACACCTGAAGACTGCTGTTGTCAACGATTCGTTGTCGGAGGCTAGTAAATCAAAGCGTAGATACACAAGAAAATCACGGATGCCTCTGCTGTACCTTTGTGCTGATGCGCGCATCAACGTGATTTTTGGGGCTGCGATGGAATCAATCAGACCAATACAGAGAGAGAAAACAGCCGAAAAAGCATTCTTTACGTTTCTAGGTCGCAGTAGAGTTGACACGATGGCAAGGCAGTTCTACTGACCGCAGACAATCTTTTGTCACTTACCCCAGCGCTAAATGCGGCTGAGACATGACTCTCGTCGATGGCCATATTGTAGTCATAGTGCAGGATGGAAAAAAAAAAACAACAGAATGATTAGTTTAAACGTTACAACGGCCACACAGGTTTCAAAAAAACTTCTATAATCAATCATAGTCATAACCTGCAACTGTCGTAAGCCACGAGAGCGGCAGATTGATTATGATGGGACTTGCCTCCACCTCCTCCCTCATCGCCGCCTCCACCGCCGCCCAGGTCATCAAAATCATCACCTTCACCGTTGTCGAAGTAATTATCAGCATAGTCATTATCGTACTCTTCGTCGACGTCGTAGTCCGATTCAGCTGCTTGTGAGCCAATGTCGGAGCGCTCATCGCCAGACTTCTCCTGGGAGGAGATAGCGATTACTCAGAGAGGAAGAAAAGATACATCGGCCCACAAACCTGGTCATCAGCGTCATCTCCCAGCGTATCAAGATTGATACGTTTTCTCGGCCCCTTTGTCTCAGCTGCGAAGCAGAATGTTAAAGCGATTGGCCTGAGGCAAACCCATGATACCTACAAGCTTTCCTTTTCTTAGGGTTGAAGTAACTTTCGAAAATTTCCTGCGGGAAAAATGGCTGGTTTAAATCCTTCCGTTTTAATGTGGGCTGAGAGGCAGGAGAAGGGCGATATTTATCGGAATATCGAGGAAGTTCTGCACTTTTCTTCAATGAGTTGAGTTCATGGGAGACATGCTCAGGAAGAAAGTCACCTGTGGATTTTGTCGACTCAACGATGTAGTATGCAGACTGGCGCAGACGCGTCGCAAAACCAGTCTGTAATTCACACACACGTTTTTCCTCTTCTGTGTACTCTGTGAGCAGTGGAAAAGGCTCCAAAGGCTGGGAATTCCATAAACCTTATGATAGCATTTTATGGAGGTGCATGCACATACGGGATACAACGCCGTAGCCTCTCTAGACATGGACTGAATGTCCGCAAATGTCAGACCCATGGGGGGAAGGTTGGCACTGAATCCGCCCTTCCCTCCAAATCCACCGCGCCCTCCACCTCGACCTCCACCTCGACCGCCTCTTGACATGATGGATCGCTGTGATTCAGGTTGAGAACCAAAGATAAAGCTGGAAACAATGCACTCTGTAGTGGGCAAGGACACGGGCGCCAATATGACCGTATTTGGCTACAAAGCGCAGCTTCAAACTCCGAACGAAATTATAAAGTGTGTGGGCTTCGTTGCCTTGGCCCTTGCCACCCGCCATCATCCCCTCAAGCCCTCGCCTCCGCCAGTTCGTGTCATTCCCGCCATTCATCAACCCAAGACCTCGCCAGACCAGTAGCTACATCGAAATGGACAAGACTCTCGACGAGGTTTGTTTCTTCTGTTGTCGACGCCACGTCTACATCTGACCACACTATTCCCCTTTTTAAGATCATTGCTACCCGCCCCAAAATTGTCCGTCGCCGTCCATCGGCCAAGCAGCAAGTTTTGGGCAATCCCGCCGCCGCCCCTGCCACCCGTGCACGCGCTGCGGCTAGCAAGGCTGCTGCTGCTCCGGTAGCAACTCAGCAGCAACCTGCTGACAAAATCATCGTGTCAAACTTACCTAATGACGTGAATGAAGTTCAGATCAAGGTTTGTTTTGGGTCACTTGCTAGACAGAGTGTTTGAAGCTCAATGGTCTGCTTCAGGAACTTTTCCATACGACCGTTGGTCCCCTCCGGGATGTGACTCTTCATTACGATAGCCAAGGTCGATCTAAAGGTGTCGCTGCCGTCCATTTCCAAAGGCGCGGCGATGGTACGAAGGCGTTCCAACAATATAACAATCGCCTCATTGATGGAAGTTAGTATCGACTGCATTCCCCCTCTTTCACACCCTCGTCGTTCGTCTAGCTTGGCTACCCGTCGTGTCTCTTGTGGAGGTGCTCTAACCGATCGGAGCTGTTGCACCGATCTCTTCAGGCGTTGCGTCCGGTTCCAGAGTGGTCGCGTTGAGGCGCGCGTTCTGCTATGCGTAGGGGCTGCACTCGATCATCCTGCCGTTCGCACCAAGATGCTTCCTCCCGCTGGGTCGCCTTGATTGAACAGTCAGTTCAATCCTGGACTTGGTTTCGCCCCGAATGCGCGCAGCAGCGTCGGCTCCCATGCAGACGTGGTTAATACCCTTGGGTCTGATCAGCCCTTCGGTATGCGTCTTGCTGCGATGTCCGCGTGCATCCGAATGGTCCTTGTCTTGCTCTGGCAAGGACTGCATTTCAAGATGCATGGCACAAGGTTCGACCATCGTCAATCTGGCGTTGACGGAGGAAGGCGAAGCGGGAGTGCTCAGTCATCCGATGGATGTCCGTGTTTGTGGTGGAGTGGGCGAAGTATGCCTTGGGTACGGTATGGAGCGGATGAAGCCTACAGTGTTCGAAGTTCAAGGCTCGCGACTGCTGCTCGTATCTTCTCCTTCTCCTTCTCTCGCAAACTGAACACCCGACTGATAAATCCTCTACCTTTTCTCTGCCATGCGTGTCACTCCATCTCACGTCGACATCCGCCATCTCGCCATTTCAACACTGCCGTTTCAATAGAACGCCCCATGAAGATCGAGATAGTGGTCGATCCGGCTCGCCCTGCCCCCCCGGCATCGCTGGCCGCTCGTGTTGCGCCAGCTCCTGCAGCACCCACGGAAGGTGCTAGGTTGGTTCAGCCTCAAGTGCAGTGAAGTTGTTCAAACTGATTCGTTTTTCTTAAGGACGGGTGGTGGACGACCGAGGCGTGGTCGAGGAGCAGGAACAGGAGCGGGAGGTCCCAGGCGCAGGAATGAGAGGCCGGCCAAGAGTGTTGCTGATTTGGATGCAGAGATGGAGGTTAGTCGCTATCATTTATCTATCAACTGTCTAGCAACTCAACGGGCTTTAGGACTATACTGCGAGCAATGCCCCCGCAGCGACTGCTTGATTGCTTTCGCCTTTGTTGCCGCGTATTTCTATTTTGACCTGTTTCGACGCTTTGTGTACTATCATACTTTAGCTATACGGTCTGATTGATTGTCCACTTATACTCGTATCGAATCGCATCGTCGCTATTATCCCGCTCAATATACCTGCCGTGCCGTTTGCGAAAGAGAAGGCACGTCTTGTATCCGCCGTATTACATGGCACACTGAGGTCAAAGTGACAACTCAATCGTCGTCCAAAGCGGAATTGAGAGTAGAGTTGTTTGTTTGAACTCAAATTCACTTCTCATTTACTCCACCATGTATGATTTTTCTGAGGTTGAGCCGCTATATGCTGAGCGACCTGACTGGGCGGATGTCACTCCCCTTCAACAGTATCAGGGGGTGGATCCTCTGGCCCCAATCAACTACTCTACAGAATGTCTGTCTTTTTGGCTGCAGCCTGCGTGGAGACAATCTCTTCTAACTCCTCCATAACCTCATCCAGACCAAGATGCGACAGATTACTTCAGAGGCATCGTCAAGACTGGCGAGATCAGCCTCAGAGTACTCCAGCTCACTGAACACATCATCCGCATGAATCCTGGACACTACTCTGCATGGTGGGCACAGGCCTTCCCTTTCTGTCCCCCGTCGTGCTGACACGCCCCCAAAAACGCCGTAGGCAATATCGCTACCGGATCCTGCTCGCACTACAGTTACCTCTCGAAGAGGAACTGCGGCTCATGGACCAGTATGCGATCGACTTTCTGAAAACATACCAGGTGTGGCATCACCGCCGGCTGCTGCTCGGCGCGCTGCGTTCGGTGGACGCGGCGGCGGCGGAGCTCGAGTTCGTCGCGCGTGCGCTGGACACGGACGAGAAGAACTATCACACATGGTCCTACCGCCAGTGGATCCTCGCGCACTTCAACGACGAGGCGCGCCTGTGGGCGGGCGAGCGCGCATGGGTCGAGCACATGGTCGAGCGCGACGTGCGCAACAACTCAGCATGGCACCACCGGTTTTTCATTGTGTGGGGCAGCGGGATGCGCGTGGGAGACGAGGACAGGGAGCGTACGCTCAAGCGGGAATTGATGTGCGCCTCCTTTCGCTGTTGTCGTGTGGACAGGTGGTGCTGAGCGCTGTGTGCCGCGTAGGTATGTCAAGGAGAAGATCGCGCTTGCGCCGAACAACCCTTCTGCGTGGAATTACCTCCGCGGGATCCTCGAACATACCCATACGCCGTTTTCTACGCAGGCCATCTTTGTGCAACTCTATACGACGTCTGCATCCACCCCAGGCGACGTCTTCGACTTGGACAACCCTCCTCCCTCGGCTAGCGCAGTCTTGCCGTGTGAGAATGCACTCGAGTTCCTCGCTGACATATATGAACAGGAAGGCGGCGCCCAGATTAGCAAGGCTATCGAGGTGCGTAATCGTTAAGTTCCTAATTGTTGACATTACGGGTCGACGTACATTCGCTGATTTTGTGCAGATCTGGAGGTCGCTAGCGGATGAGCATGATACTATGCGTAGGAAGTGAGTTTCGTTTGTTCGCAAGACTCCGCATTTTGCTGAAATTTATAGGTACTGGGAATACCGTATCAAGGGAGCGTCGCAGACATAGCCAAATGGTAACAAATGTCACTTATATTCAGAAGCTCATCTCAATTGTATCATACTATTGTGTATCACGAATGGCCAGTGCTATTCGGCCGCACGTAACAACAGACCGACTCTCATTTTCATGGTTCCTTGTAGATGAGAGCTATATATAACATACAAGTGAGGGAAAATGCTGCTAATGCTACATCAAGAGATTCAGCTTTGAGATACAGTTAATCTTTCCGTACAGTTGTTGAAAGCACCCATTCTTGCCCTTCACCGGCGGTTGACTCAAGCCTGTTTCTCTCGGTCTGTCAAAGGTACATACTATCCAAGACATAAGACTAAGAGATATTGAACTTTAAAAACGGGGAACTGACCATAACACCAAAGAGCTCTCTCTGCGTAACCTTCCCCTCGCCGTCCTTGTCAACCTGCGCGTAGAGCAAGTGTGAACTATCTGCCATAACTCCAGGATGCAGTCGCACTTACTTGAACTATCGCTTGCTGTGCTTTCCCAATGGGTATGAACATGCGCCCAGGGCAAGCGAGCTGTTCAACAAGTGCGGCAGGCATTGTTGGTGCTGCAGCACCTACATGGATAACATCGTACGGTCCTGAAGGACACAAGGTCAAGAGCGATAGCGAGGCATTAGAAACATAAGCCGTACCAACGCTAGGATAGCCTGGTTGAACATTGCGACGATCGCTCCTAAGCTGTATAAAATCCCATAGAATTGCGGATGCGCGCACCTTGTCTGCCGTCCCCGACAACTATCTTGATGTGACCATCGTTTACTGCAGCCTCGAGTCCGTCTCGTCGCAGATTCTCCATCGACCAGCCGACTAGCTCTGGTATATGCTCTATCCCAACGACCGTCCCCGTTGTGCCGTGTTCGGCGGAGACGAGGTGGTGCAAAACGGCGGTGAGGTATCCAGAACCCGAGCCGACATCGAGAACGCGCGCCCCGGGGTGGAGGAAGGGGAGGAGGCTTTCTAGAGCATGCGCGTGCTGAAGAGCGAGTGAGATCAAGCATCTGGATGACATACATGACAAAAACGACGGACCATGTGGGGAGCGGAGATGGTTGCACCGTGACCGATATATCTTGGTGTACGTCGAAGTGAGCACGTCTGGGTGAGTGAGAGGGGCAGACCGTCACGGTGGACGGGACGCACTGAGGCGAATCCTCGTATGCGCCAGACCTATGACGAACATAGTTCGCCCGGTCGACTTTGCTCATTGCCTACATTCGCCAGAATAGCATCAGACTAGATGGGTAGGATGAGTCCAATACTCACTGCTTGGATACGCTCCGAGTTGATGAGACCAAACCTGCCCATATTGGCAATGAGTTCTGCGTTGGTCGCGCCAGTACATGTCCACGCCATTGTGTTGACGAATATAAGTAAAGAGTGAGAGAGAATCCACAAGGTTTGTTGGGAGGGTGAGATCAGGAGTGATATCAGCGTGGAGGGTATTGTAATGGCCGGGCTTGTGATTATTCGGAGTATCAGCTATGACGCATCGCCTATTCAAATTGATTCAAACTCGTTGAAGTGATTACTGACATTATGATGCCCAAGTACTGACGCTTCCTGCTTTTTGCAACCGATGACCAGGGTAGACTATGGTCAGTGATTGTGTTGTCTTGGGCAGACAGATGGTGGGATCACGGTGTCTGTGGCACTCAGCGGCTGATCATTCCCAGCTGTTCCTCATGATCAGGCTGTAGACAATCAACGAATTTTCTACTACGCCGTGCGATGACCGTGGGCTCTTCGGAACCATTCCCTCCTCAGCAGTCATCTGGATGACACCACTCTGATGGTGACCCAAGGAAGCACCGCCTGCGTAGGATCCCACCTCCTACCACCACGCAACTCAGCTCCCAGATTTGTGAGTTGGCGACCGCTTCCCGGCTAGGATGACAGACCATGTCGAATTTCTAGAGTTGAGGCATGTTTTGCGTTCATTATTGTGATTATTATGATTGACCTGTACGACACCCAGAAGACCCTCCGACCGGATACCCTCGCTACCTTGGGAAGTCATCGAGGGTATAATCGATCATGTTGGGAGCTTTCAAGACTACCCTGACGCCGACCAGCGGTTGGCCTTACTTAATTGTGCTCTTACATCTCGGGCATGGCTCCCCCGCAGCCGGCTCTGGCTGGTTAATTCCGTCCACATCTACAATCGAGATCAGTTCAATAGGTTCGCGCACATGCTGTTCGCCAATTCCCGTCTCGGGGATGTCATACAGAAGTTTAAGATACAAGGTCCCTCGTCTGTTCTGCCTGCATCCCATTTTGCGGTGTTCCCACTTGCATTTGCACGCAAGCTGAACAATCTCCGCCGAATTGACCTAATCTCTATATCATGGAACCTGACTGCGTTTCACTCTTTTTTCTTTCTTGCTTTATCAGAATTTACATCGGTGACCGTGCTGAATCTCTACGACGTCCAGTTCTCCTCATTCCGTCAAGCAATTCGTCTCGTTTGCGCTTTCCCCAACCTCCGAGAGCTGGATTGCACTAGACTCACCTGGTGTCATGGATATATTCCTACCGCCCATGAACTTATGCTGCATCGCAAATTTACGCGTCAGCTCTTCGCATTCAACCTCGGTGTCCATGGCGGTTTAGCAAGGGACATCCTAACATTTCTTATAGAATCTGATATGGCGCGCACTCTGCGTAGACTAACAACAAGCCACTACCAAGTCCATCTTCAAGAATTCGAAAAGACTCGCCTAGGAGAGACATTCTGTATAGCAGGAGCCAATCTGGAGAAGCTTGAACTCGTTCTCCAGGCCACTTTGCTCGACAGTGCTGCCGCTGAAGATATTATTCGTAAGTTTTGTTCCCGTATCTCTACTGCCAGCTCGCCGCTGAGGGCCTATAGAGCGTCAGGGTCCACACCTTGCCCAACTCACGCGCCTTCGCACACTGCGCATCGAGCTCGATCAGGTGCAGGGTAACGTCTGCTTTGACTGGATCCCGACACTGCTCGGCCTCCTCCCGTCTACACACATGCAGCACATCGCCCTGCAGCTAGGCTCGTTCTTCCACCTTCAGCCCGCGGGCACGGATGTACTCGACTGCGTCCTGACGACGCTCAGCTCTGCATGGTGCCAGCGCGTTGACGGGGTCCTCTCCCAGCCCCGCTTTCGCCTGTTAGAGAAGCTGACCATCGAGGTCCGTGGGCACTCGAGGGCGAGCGAGGGTAGCGCTGCCGCGGTGCGTTGGCACGTCGAGTTCATGGCGCGGCTACCGCAGCTGAGGGAGCGCGGTGTTCTGGCGTATGTAGGCTTCAATCATCGAATCACTGTCCCTCATGTGACTTGTTTTTGCAGAGTGATTTTGGACTTGGTGTAAGCGCGGACCCGGTCAGTTCAATTTTGATTCAGGGTAGCGAAGCAATCCAAGGCTGAACTGCGTCGCGCTGAATCAGGTGGATTGGACAGAACCGGTTTGCACTGGAAAGTCTTGCCTCGTAAAAGTTCTGAATAACGATGTTGTTGAACAGGTGAGTCTCATTTGAATGACTAGCGTCCAGTGTCAATAGCATGAACGCTAATATGCTTACGGTCCAGCATGTTCTGCGATCTCTGAGGTTCACACTCAGAAAACAACGGACATGATACCGTACTTGTCAACGGGCAGTTTTAGTGGATCACAAGCTCACAACGAACGACGACGTCGAATGAAAGATGCAGTATCTGAAACGGACAGTGTTACTATGAACAGCGCAGTCACTTCTACATGAATGCCACCCCAGCCGCAAAGCCAATCATTGTCCCAATGATGCCCATAACGATCCAGGAGTCCCACAATGGCCTGGACTCCGCCTTTCCAGGCGCCGTCCATAGCCACATCCTCAACACCGCTCCTGCCCCGCCTACCGCATAGTCTACGTCCTGCCCGGCGCACATGCGCCGCATCATGACATTATACCACGACGAGGACGTACCCGCTCCAATGAGTTTTGGCATCTCTATGGAGAACAGGCTCCACAACGCAACAAGCAGCGAGACGATGGCGTGTTCGCAGCGCTCCCACCAGCGCGTGGAGTTGCGAGCGATGGCGATGTCGAAGCCATTGACTGTCGGGTCAGGCGGGGGGACCATGAGGAAGTCGTCGGCGTGTCCAGCGCGTCTGCGCGCGAGGGATGCGACAAGCTGGCGCGGGAGCTCAGGATAGAATACGGACAGACGGGCGAATCCGAGCAGATGCGCGTGTCGCTGTTTGAGGACGGAAGCGAGGATGGGGAGGGACCGCAGGCCGCCAGATAGCAGTACTAAGGGTGTATAGTCTTTGGTGTCCGGAGAGGATTCCAATGCGTACACTGCTTCTCGCGAAAATGAGGAAAAAATGGCTTGTCGAGTTGATGTAATGTTAGATAGGAACGCTAGAATAGTATATGGTTAAATGTACGTGACAGATTGCAAAGACGGTATGTACCTGGACTTTCATAGTCGCCACCGCTGACCTCGATGAAATCTACCATTTTCCAAGACGCGATTTCCTGGAGGTGCTTTAGAGGATGTTTTTCGTCGGCGTAGTCGGTATAATCCGCCGCGTTCAGCTTCAAGCCGAGGATGAAGTGCTTGGGTGCTACGCCAGGCGCGCGAATCGCCGAAACAATGCGGTGGAGGAAGCGCAGTGGGTTTGTACGGGCGGAGTATTCATCCTCGCGCAGGTTTGTCTAAAAGTATGTGGTGTTAATACTTATATTGTACCTGCATCGTCAAATATACCTTGGGCGACATGAACTGTGATATGAGATCTATCAACCAATAGAATTAACATGAGAGAGCTCTTTCCAAGAGCATGTAAGTTGTGAGTAGCTTACAACCATGTGCTGCATGTAGCTCTATCCCATCAAAGCCCGCTTCGATCGCCAAACGGGCGCCTCGTACAAATGCCTCTACGGCGTCGTCGATGTCTGCGTCAGACATGGCACGAGGGGTCTGGAAGAGCACAGCGCTGGTCAGATAAGACAAGAAAGCACTTGCAAAGTTTTTTTGCTGTGATGACTTGCGACCAAGCGGGACAGGACTAGGCGCAAGCGGAGGGACGAATGGCCAGCGTCCGCCGATTATGTTCGCAGACTGACGGCCGCCGTGGGCGAGCTGCATGATCGCAAGAGTCCCTTCGTTCTTCTCGACGTTCGCACCTCTGACCTGTTCAGCGCATCCCTGGGCGTGGATGATGTCGGCTAACTGGGCGAATGGCTGGATCGTGGACGCGTCCAAGACGTCGGGCACAATCAGATCCCGTCCCAGGGCGAGGTGTTCGCGGGACACTTGGACGTTCCCTGTCATGATCATTCCCCACTTTCCTGGGGCCCAGCGCGAGTATAGCTGGAAGTGCGCAGCGTTGGGCGGGCCTCCGAATAGGTTAGCTAAGTGTTCGTACATGGCCACCTATGAGAGTCGTACGGGATAAAAAGTAGATAGCCAGTCATGACTCACTTTGACGAGCCTGTTGGGCATTGTCCGGCCACATGGGAAGCAGACAGGTGTGAAAAGCTCGTCACTGCCCTCCGGAACCCCAAGGGTGCCCGGTTTCGCTGCGTCGCTCCCATGATCTTCTGCAATACAGCTGTCAGTTTCAGACGAAGCAACATGACAGAATTCTGTACTGTGTGCCATGGATCACCTCTGTGCGTGGTCTACAGACAAGATGTCAGTCCAGAGGCTTGGTACGACTCCCCACTTGAACATACCGAAGCTGGGAGCGCTCACAAAACGCCCTACAGATGATACTATAAGTTTGTGCTGCGCATCTTCTCCGAGTCTTTAGCGGTTTTCAGTATTTGATGGGGCTTTCGGAATTCATTGGGGTTATGCCAGTTTTTAAATTGAGCTGCGAAATTCGGGTCGATTCAGGCGCCTATATGATGAGCGCTGATCTATAGGCGCCTCCACCACCCGCCGCCGACTGCGTACGTGACCTTATCATCACCTTTTGGGGGACCATTGGGGCGTAACAGAGCAGACGGTGAAGATATGCAAGCTGCATCCTATGTGGAGAACTGGAATTTTGTGTCTATCTTGATACCAGCAACTCCTAGCTCAAGAGCACGCAGATGCCATTCCATCTTTCTAACCAATATGATTACATTTCTATTGATTACAACAAGTGCATTATTCTTCTGCATACACCAAAGCTCCCGCACACATAGACTGTGATCAATCACTCGCAATCGGGGAAGCCGATACTTCCGTAGCCAGTCCAGAAGGGCTTACAGACGCGCGCAAAGCTCGTCTTCTCGATCTCGCTCAGCTTTTGCACTTCTCCCGGGGTCAAGTCAATGATTTCCATGTTTGCGACGACTCGCGAGGGTGTCACCGACTTCGGTATCACTGGATAATAGACGTAGTGAGCAGTCCTAAAGCGTCAAGTAGCGTAGTGGAGCGCACCAGTAACCTCCGGTCGGTTTGCGTGGAAAGAGATGAGCACGCAAGTGGGCGTAACACCATGCGCCTTCGCAATCTCTACGACGGTCGGGTTGCGGGCAAGAGGAGCGTTGTCAGAGCCCAGTGGCGAGTACGCGGTGATAGAGATGCCCTTCGCCACACATGCCCGGTAGATATCCGCCTGCAAGCACGATCTGTATGTACGGAGAGGAGCTTAGCATAACGCAAGAATACATGCACAAACACGATATACGCACGGGCTGCTCTCGACCTGGTTCACCGCGGGAACGACGGTGGCAACTTTGAGTAACTCGTCCAAAAACTTCACGGAGACGTTAGAGACACCGATCGCCCTGACTTTGTCGGGATTCTCCTTGTAGATCTTCTCCATCGCCTTCCAGGTGTCGATCCAGGAGATGGCCCTGTTAGGCGCACCATTTTTTGAGGGGCATGGCCAGTGCATAAGCCCTGTGCAAGCCGTTAGCAAAATTTTACCCAAGGTAGAAGTCCTTTCGTACAGAGGTCAAGATAGGTAGTATCGAGCGCCTTGAGCGACGCCGCGAGTGCAGCAGCCGGATCTTCGTGGTCGGTATTGTTGAGCTTCGTTGTCAAGAAGATCTCCTCGCGAGGGACTCCCGAGGCCTTGATGCCCAAGCCTACTTCCTTCTCATTATCTGAGCAGGTATCATGAGCATATCTGCGGCAGGTCGATTGCAGAAGTATGCACCGTAGGCAGCAGCAGTATCGACGAGCTTGTAGCCGTTCTTGAGGGCGACCTCAACGGCCTTCTCGACGGCGCCTGGGGGAGACTTCCAGGTACCTATCCAAAAGGGATCGTCAACCCGCGCACGGAGACATTATTGACAGCCGATACATACCGAGGCCGAGAGTGGGCATGGAGGCGCCAGTGTTGAGCCTCACGAATTTTGAGGCGGGCATAATGGTGTGGGAGGACTTGTGGTAGTGAGGAGAAGGAAATAAGGGTAGAGGAATTTTGTTTCCAGTGGTGTGCGCATCGATGCGCTTTTATACGAGCGGTGGGATACGGCAAGCCGCATTGTGATTGCCATGCCGCCAGAGACAGGATGAGTAATGGGCCGCACCCCAGAATGAAAAGGCAAGACCTGCTATATATTATGACATGCTTATCGGCGGAGAGACCACATACCCTTGGCGCGGCTCAGACTCGGTGCGTCATACTAGTCCCTGGCCACTTGACCAATGAGAAAAACATCCAGGATTCGTGCTAAATCCGCTGACTTTTCGCCATTGTGGACCGCCTAAGGACAAATTGAAGCCTGAAATCCAGTCCCAGAATCAAGGGAGAGTGAGAGCCTGGTAGGAAGATCCATTGCCAGTGGATGTCCGAGGTCGTGCCGCATGACATCTTCACAGGCGCAGGAGTCCTGCCATCCCGATGGTCCGAGATAACTCCTGAGTCACTCGTCTGACGTCGTGCGCGCCCCTTGAAAGAATATATCGAAGGTGAGTTGCTGACGATACAATCACAGAGCTCACGCCCGTCTCGTTCGTCGAACTCCATTTTAGTAACTCTGATCAAAGGAGCCATGGTGGCGTCGAGATAGCACCCAAATGGGACCTGAAACAAATCCTCACTTGCCAAAATTGCAATTTGGAGAGATCAAATCATACGCTAGCTCCCGAAAGCCGCCCCTATACCGACCAGCACTGGGCGACTGGATCTGGATAAAGCCACGGACCTAGGTGCAAAGCTAAAATGACTGGCTAATTTGCCCTCGAACCTGTGTCCAGTTCAAAGGAGTCATATTCATGCGATCCTTGGTGATAATACCATGTCTCCGCAGATACGAACCCATCACCTACTAATCGCCCAAAGGGTAAGGGTGCAATATCTGGCCATAGTACAGCTCTGCCTCTGCACTCGCAAGAAAGACATAGCTGGGCGCGACCTCTGACGGCTGTCCCACCCTTCCGATGCTCGTCTTCTCACCGAATCCTTCCATCTGTTCTGCCGGCCGGGAAGCTGGCTGCAAGGGCGTATGCACCGGACCCGGAGCAACCGCATTCACTCGCTGTAAGAGCGAACTGTAAGCAGCCGTCGACCAAGCTCCTAGGAACTTGGGACTTACAATTCCGTGAGGCTCTAGCTGTTTTGCGAGCGAACGCGTGAAGCCGACTATGGCACCTTTGGTCGCGACGTAGTCCACCATCCCTGCAGAACCCCTGAACGTCGTCACGGATGTCGTGTTGATGATGCTCGAACCCCGACTCATATGAGGCAGAGCATACTTCGTCACAGCGAACATCTGGATAATGTTGCTGCGGAAGGTGCTCTCCACAACGTCGAGATCGATGTCGGCGAAGTTCATCTCCATCGCTTGCTTGCTCGCGTTATTGACGAGGACATCGATGCGCCCAAACTTCCCAACGTGCGCTTTAATGACGGCATCTGCGTTCTGGAAGTCCTCGAGGTTGAAAACGATGGAGAGCGCCTGCCGCCCCTCGTGCTGGATCGCCCGAACTGTGTCATTGGCGTCTTGCTGCTCCTCGGGCAAGTGGACAATGGTGACGTCGGCGCCCTCACGAGCAAACAGGATCGCTACCGCCCGTCCAATCCCAGAGCTGATGGATACACGAACATGTCAAATTCAATCGCACCAGTTCTATTGCAGAGAATACGGTATGCTGGTCACTTACTCTCCCCCGGTTATGAGGGCTTTCTTTCCTCGAAGTTTCCCTATCCCAGTATAAGGTTTAGGACCACTATCGGTCTCGAGCTTGGTGTCGAAGGGCTCGGGGCTCATATCTTTTTGAAGACCAGGCAGATCCTGGTCCTGAGCGGGGATCTTCTGTTTGAGCGTCGTGCCTTCGTGCGAGGTCATGATGGTAGTAGTATCGCAAGTTGAACGAAAAGCAAGAATTGGGAGTTATGCATTGAAATAGTCGGAGATGACGCGCGTTGTTGGACAAATGATGACGTTCGAGCTTCGACGGTGGGGACTATAACGCGGATTATGACACCTTCAAGTCTGGTACAGTTGACGCGCCCAGCTTAGGGTGACGTCATGACCAGTATATCTCCTGGATGGGGTGAATCAAGTAATGAGGCCTAGAGCTAATTCACGCACGCGTAAAGCTGCAGGCCATAGAGGGTTCTAACACCGTTTCTATAGCCGTTCACGACAGCGAGACCTGTGTGTCCTACAGAGTACAGCCCAGATCCCCGGAGATATCAGAAGTCATCAGCACAATATTCTAAATTGAATTCTGGTCACTCTAATCACTCACGCGGGAGAACATCAACTTCTCGTATAACGGCCCTTTCTGTCATTCGCCAAGGGTGCGTCTATGGGCGTATTTGTACCATCGGGGAATCAAATTAGCGTCCGCCCGAGCATATGCATAAGCATCCGATAGCTTGGACCGACAAATCGGCGAATTCTACTGTCGGCGATACAAAGCTACTGCGGCGGGCTCGCGGAATCGTGTTCACGGAGCCGGCGGGCTCGGGAATGACGCGTTCACTGCCGCTTTCTGTAATTTGACTTTGATTTGGCTCTACGAACATGCAGCAGACGCTAGTGCAGGGTATCAGCCTTGAATCTTGGTATTAGGATCCGAGAACTCGCCATATACAGAGGCACAGGTTTCCCCAATTTCAGTACTAGGTGAGATGTGGTCAAAGGAAAGAAAACGTCGTCACCCCTGTCAGTATCATAGCAGCCATGCAAATTACCACGCTCATGCGAGCTACCAGGTCTAATGCAGCTATCAATGAGCGCAAGCGCGAGTATCTGATATATCTTCCCCACCACCATCGGCACGATAGATAAGCAAGTCGCGAAATTCAGGGCATGGTAAAGCTTAACACCAGTACAAATATGGTGGAAATTCAATTTCCATCGAGCAATATAGCATCGTACACAGATTAAATAGAAAGGCTGTACTCGTACTCGCTATGGGTGCTTTGTGAAATCCAAAGGACGATGGCCGAGAGCATGAGCGCAACGTTTTGTGAAACGTTGGCGTAGCCGTAGTAGGTGTACTGTTCCAAGTAGTCTTGCATGACGTATTTGAGCACGAGGACAGTCTGGCGGGCGAGACACACAGAGGTTAGAGGTATCCCGGACGAAGGCGGAGGCACGACGCACGACGCTACCCGCAAGACCGCCCGCCATGAGCGCGAAACCGATGAAGAGTATGAGCCGCGCCCGCCACACCGCGCCGCCATCGCCGAAGCCCTCCTCGCCGCGTACTCTGTCCTTGTCGATGAGGTTGACGACGAGCATGCCCAGGAGCGAGCAGATGCCCGGGACCCAGTCGACGAAGGAGACGTGGACCGGGGGTGGGGTCTGTGGCTCGTCCCACGGCGGGTGCGCGTGTGCGGAGAGGATGGCCGCATCGAGGAACGTCCAATTCGCGAGCGCAAACTACATGCAAAAACGGTGGGTGGCCGCTGAGTATTCGAATGGCTGCGTACGCACCAGGCCGCCCGCGAGGTAGATTCCGATGGCCCGTCTGTGCTTCCCGAGGTTCAGGGCGGGGAAGGGGTTCAGGCAGACCCGCCGGGGGTCGTAGTTGGCTCTGGGGAGCGAGTCCATCTGAGGATCGTGCGGTGATTGTCAATAGCAAGGACGAGGCTGCAAAAGGCGCTGGTCGCCGCCTTTCCCAGGAAGGGCGCTGCGGGCGCGCGCATGGGCGTTTCGCATTGTCTCTGCGCCATCACTGCAGTGGCAGTCGCCTCAAAGCCTCTACCGTTCTGCGGCTTTTAGTGCCTCAGGCCCAACGCCCTGACGGTGAGCAGATTCAAGTATCGTTACTCATTACTGACATGATACAGACGGCCCAATATATTTTCGTGAAACGTGCCACCAGGCTTTGGTTCAATTTCATTGAGTTGTTGACAGGAGATGCGAAGAGGTACCGTCTGCGTACAGCAGCATGTGTACTTGTGAATCGCGTGGTGAATGCCGTTAAATGTGATTGTGTGAGTGCCCTAATGGACGTGGAGGATTTGATGCGCTACTTGATCATCTCCGGAATTCGAGGGGACCTTATATATTTTCGACTTCACGGACGGTCACACGGTAAAGATTTACAGGAGTATTATCGCCTTGCGCGCAACTCTTGAGTTTGACATGCCAAGGTACGCCGCATGCAGTCTCGCTCGAACATGGATATTGAGCATGCATGTCTCAACATCAGACAATACGGTAGCAATTACGGTAGCAATCATTCATGCGAACCCCCCTAAAATTCAGGAACTCACAGGACGTCCAGGACTAAGTTTTCGTCTCGAAAATCACAGATACCCTTGCAATCCACCTCTTTCGTCCATCGGCTGGGTCTCCTCCTTATCTCCCACTCTGTCCCAGATAGTTCGGCCCTCTGTCACAATCGCCTCCCACTCATGCTTCATCGATCTCGCTATCGAGTGCACCGCCAGCCGGTGCTCCGAAAAATGCGCACGGTGGTTCAGGAATTGCCACACCAGATTCTGCTTGACACAGTGGCGGTCCTCGCCGCTGTCGACACACACTATTAGTCGTTCCAACTTTTTGCATCCCAGGAGCTGATCGATAAGCTGCAGCGCCTTGAGATGGTTCAGCATCGCCGAGACACGTATACACAAGTACTTGACCGCTGGGAACATCTGCAGCGGGTCCTCTGGTGGCAAGATGGGGACAAGCTGCTCCCAGCGATGCTCAAGGATGACATGCGTTGTGCGGTTGAACATCGACGTCTCGTACGCAAAGTTGAACGTTTCGGATGGGCACTCATTTTCGAGCAAGAGCACCTGCCCCGGCCGTATGCGGCTCTCGACAAACCAGCCTTCGTTGAGCAGGACCGGGTCCACCGCAAAGTTTTGGACGTTGCCGTGAGCGACTATATCTTCTACAGCCACAGTACAGGGCTGCAGCAATTTGTATGCTATTCCGACGCCTAGATCTTCGAGGATATTTCCGCCCTGGACGTACTCGGTTCGCACCCATAAATTTCGGGTATAGGTCGCCGGCGAGGGCACATCCTCAGAGAACTCGAGCACGCTGAACAGCGACAGTGCTTGTGCGGCATTGGTGATCGAGATTGTTCTCCAGTTGGCAGGTACCTCCAGTGCTTCCTCCAGCCTTTCGTCTCTTCGCGCGATGTTGACAGGCGGTGCTTGTCGAGATGCTCGGGGCATTCTGATCTTTTCGAACGAAACCGGTCGTCGACTTTTCGCGATACCAGGTAAGCGGAGGCAGTAGTCGGTGGAGTCCACGGAGATGAATGAAGAAGCGAGCTGACGGGTCTTCCCCAGCTATATCGTCTTTGCTCTGGCCACCTTGGACATGTTGGCCATTGTGGCATACTCTGGCGAGCCACCCGTTATTGTGGGCCGCACAAAGCAATGGGACCGTGGCGGGCGTCTTCGATGGTCAAAGAACAAGGCCGCCACGCCGCAGCAAGTCGCTACGGGGGGCCACTCCGACTAAGCTGGCCGCGCGTGCCACGCCTTCTCCACGCCTCGTTTCCAACCGTCCTGAACGGCGCAAAAAATCGAATCTTGGGTATTTATCTCCTCGGGCGACCACCGCCGCACACGGTGCTTTATCCCGCCGTTCCCAGTCTCCATTGGAGTCGCACCATTTATCAGCCTGATCACTGTGATCTGTGCACATCTATCTCTTCTCCGACTTACGTTGCAGGTGCCAGAACACGTAGGACAAATGAAACCAGCGCAGCATTGGACACAACGACCCGGTGAGGCGGTGCACCTGATTTTCCCGTCCTTGGAAGACGAGGTGCTGATATGGCGTCTCAAGCTGCTGGCCCCTGATGCCATTGCGGAGCACTAGAAGGGTCTCCATCCGTGCGTCGATGCGACATGATGAAAAATCTATCGATCGCGAGTGCGTGTCAACCCATCCCCGCTAACACGGCTTGTACGTATACGTACATGCTTATCGAGCGTTCTGCACGCCGTCGTGGCGGCGGCGTGTCGCGCCTTGGGACGCCGAGCGCGCGACATGCGGAGCCTCTAGCTCATCTAACACGGAGACTTTCGGCAGCGACTCGAGTCCGTCTGTTTCACAGGCGCTGAGTGGAGGCGGGCACGGCGGCGTACCTCGGTGCGGATAACAATCACATCGTCCAAGGCCTCTGCGGCGCGCCGATTCGCCGACTCGGGCCTCTGCCAGCTGACACGGCGGCAGCATCGTTGACAAGCTCTGCCACTGGGCTGCGCGAGCGACGACCATCGGGCCTCCGCGCAGCGCCGCCCAGGCACAGTGATTCGCCGCACAACAATATCAACGACGATCGCATCGCAGTGCGCGGCGCGAACCGCGGCCCCACGGTGCGGTATGTTTCACCGCGCCGAAAGCAGGCTAGGGCGGGGGCCTACAGGCTGCGGTACGAACCGACGGCTTCGTGTTTGAGATATATAATGTATATATCTCGGCATTTGCCTTGTCGCAGATTGCATTTCTGCCGGCCCCCCCCCCTCCGAGATCCTGGAGGTTGGAGGCGCGCCGCCGTCAATGCGCGCGGTTTTGTTGTGCCGCTGCGGCGGCTGTCGTGCTGGGCCGAGTCGAGCTCGCGTTGGAGGTACGCAGGGTCCTTCCCGCTGGAACGCACCGCCGCCAACATGACGTTTCTCGCCAGAGAGCACGGTTCGCACTCGGCCGCGGCATTCCGTATGTTCTGCTGCCAACGTTTTCTCATTCGGACGGACGGCTGCAGCTCAGCACCCTCGAATATCCGTCGCCCGCCCGCCCTCCCGGTCAGCGTCCGTGACAGCCGGAACTGTCGCATATGCCCTCGCGAGGCCGTGACCTCATCAGTACGTACTGTGACTGTGACGTCTTCTTCACGTGATGCGCCCGGATTGGCCCGTCGAAGTTTCAGCAGAGATCGCAAGGATTGCATTGTGCGTTGCGTTATTGCATGCGAGAAACATTCGCGCTTGCATCGTTCGTCTAGTGCATGCATGCAAAGAGAGGGCCGTCGGATCAGGTGCTTTGCCCTAGCACCTCGGGCATGATGCGGACATCCGCGTGGGTTTCCCTGTGCAGCGATGATCAGCCTGTGGTGTCCAGTGACGACCACGGGTGCCGCCGCTGTTCGTGTTAAACAGATGGCCAGTCGCCAAGCACCGCTGCATCCGAGTTGCGTCACAATGCTGCAGGACGCGTGCCCCAGCAAGCGACGACTGCACGCAGAACACTCCGGGCTCCGCGGAAGTCGTGCACGCCATTTTTTGTATTGCTTCTGCCGCTGCAATGCGATCGCGAACCGCAGGCGGTATACAGGTATGTAAGTCACGTTGATGACTACGCACGTTGAGCCTGTAGCTCGTCGCGAAGCAGCCATGTATTCTGCGGAAGTGGTACTCGCACCCAAATTGCGTTCCGAGGGTACAATAGATCTTCAATATTGGGCAATGCACGGCGCTCCAGTTGGCTGATCGCGAAGGGCTTACTAAGTGCAATCAAAATCCACGGGACGGAGGTGGGTGGGGGCATTGTGCAGTGGCCAAATCCAATCCTAGGGTAGGGGTCTGTGCCGCGTAGGCGCCCGAAATAACGCCTATTTGGGTTATTTTAAACTCAGCAATAGAGATTTGGGCACCCGATCCGCTTTGTAAGCGAGTGGGCAACTCTTTACCTTGTACGGTATATGGCGCTTAATGGTCAAATTGAGGCTAGGGTACATAGGCGAATTCTGAGAATCAAGACAATCCGTCTTGGGGTTCTTTTCTTATGCACTTTGGCTAGACTGTCGAACTGTTATTGCCCTCCCAGACTTGCTTGCATGAAACAAGCGGCATCCGAGTGTCTTGCACGATGATAGTCTCCACAGGAGTATGTCAGCCTTTGTTCGCTCTTGCAGGCTTCGGGGCGGCGGGGCCCGTCCCAGCGATGCGCCATGCTCCCGGATTCGCTGCCAGCGCCAGTATGCGGGCAGTGTTTGGTGCCCGGCCCTGCGCTGCGGAAAGAGTCGGCTGGGATGCGAGTGGGCAGGATGCCAGGAATTATGGGCGTCTTGTTCTCTCGGGCGTTTGTGCTGCGCTCCGATCGGGGAAGCGCTGCGCCACCGGCTACCGCGTACCTCGCTTTGCCAGGCAGCCAGGCAGCCGTGCAGCGCACGAGCACGAGCACGAGCACGAGCACGAGCACGCAGCGCGCAGGGAACCTCGCACTCAGCAGCAAGCGTGGGCTTCTTAGTAGGCTGCACGCGAATGCCGGGGGAGCCCACACGCGCGCGAGTGGGGAGCGAGAGCGAAGAGAAGACACGGGCCCGGGGATGGCGTAGATTAGCTAACCAAAGGAGGGCAATGCTGTCGCATGCCAATGGTCGTGCACTCTCGCTCATCCATGCATGTGCGCGGGAGATCTCGAGTCTGAATTCGGTGCGTGTCGCAGAGGCCGGTTCTCCCCGCAGGCTGCGGAACATCTAGTATGCACTGGCCGATCTCGGTCCTGCGTACGGGTGGGTGGGGAGCGACGTTCGGACCTGTGTCGCGCCTGGCAAGGTTTGCGCTCGCACGATAGACACGGTCTTGCTACATATATCGCATCAATTTATCTAACGAATGCAAACGGGCCTCCCGTTGTGCGCTGTGGGCGCGCGGCAGCCGTGTCGGCAAGAGAGCACGAAGCGCGTGCGATTTGCTGGGTTCGGGGTGATGGACCATATGTCGGTGGTTCTCAATGACGATGCATGTGGGCGGGGGGTGAGGCTCAGATGACGAAAACATGAGGTGGACGATTAATTCGTCCGAGCATGTACCTTACTCGTCCTCGCCGAAGATTTGAATCGATGGGGTTCGTGCCAATATTCGCAATCCGTGGGCAGCCCTGGGTGGACGAGCGCTATATCATTGTGGTCGAGTTTATCCAGCTGCAGGGCTGATGTGGAGCGAAGAGGACGGAACGCTGAGGGATCTGTGGCGATCTTGCAGCCACTGCCCCCGCCGTCGCCCCTGTTTGGGGCATCCGCATCTGAGATGGTCACTGATCGTCACGTCGCTCACGTGAGACAGGAGGTGCGGTCGTGACAGAACAGAGGGAGACAATGCAGCAGCGCTTTCCGGTGGCAATGCCACTGGCATGATCAAGACGCGGGAAGCTGGGAGAACGAGGCGATTGGATTGTGGGCTCGAGGTACTAGTAGTATGTAAAGCACGCGTACAATGTTCTTGGCGGGCCCGCGGAGGCATTGGGCTGGGCGGACGACGGCACTGACCCTCGAATTCTAGCGCAACAGGGAGAGTCAGCGGGCAGGAGGAGTGCAGTATTTTTAAATCCAATCAGGGAGAGAGCCTCGTGTGAGCAGCGTTTCAGCGCTCTCGAGCGTCGAATGACAGAGAGGAATTGCTTCCTGGCGATCCGCTAATGGTCCCGGCAGCCTGATGGGCTGATCCAGAAGGCCGTCGGGGGCCGTCGCCACTGGCACTGTGCTCTACTCGGGGTGCACCGCGACCGTCCAGGCCTGCTCGCGAGCGGCGACCGTGTATGTAATCCGCATCAATGAAGGCGGCCGCAGTGTCGACTCTTCCCGCGCCTCGTCGGGAGGCGGCCGCCAAAGGAGGGCAGGAGCCCGAGGTCCGCTGCCACCGACTGGACAGGAATCAAAATCAAATCTTTCTGCCACAGCAAATCGCGGCGACCGCGCGCGCTAGGCTGATAGACGGTGGACGGGTGCCCGCACGGCTGGTGCGCTGCGGCCGATTGGAGACTAGTGCGCCCAGCGGACACGTGTAGGGGACTGGAGGGAGCGTGGAGGAGGCCGAGCGAGGTGAGCACGCGCGCCGTGACCGCCGCGAGAGTCGGCGCAGCGAGGCCGGGGAGGGCCCGATGAGGCTAGCGTCGGCGGGCGGGGGCGCGGGGAGCGGGCGAACCGGCGGGCCCTCGGGGATAAAATTAGGACGAGGCCCCTCTGACGATTGATCGACCTGCGCGGCGCCCATGGGCCATCGTGACCGCTAAGCCGTCGTCCCTGCACTCCGCCAAATCTTGCCCATCGCCTCGACAATCTCTCCCGCCCCCATGCCCTCTTGATCGGCCTGGCTTCCCTCCCGCAACGTCCGCACTTATATACCTCCCTCCTCCGTTCCGCCCTGCCGTCTCCGTCTCCATCCACA